TATCTATCTATCTATCTATCTATCTATCTATCTATCTATCTATCTATGGTATTCAGCTTTGTTCGGGTATTTTCCCACGTCATTATAGTTGTGCTTTTAAAGTTGTAGCGATGTTTCGGCAGAATCTCATCTGCCATCATCAGGCTTGTGTATTGTGTTCGTCTACATATATATACACTGTAAATACATATACACACACACATACACGTTGCAAACAGAGTAACTAGATTCTGCTATGAATCCTTATAACTATCATCCAATCTCTCTTTTAACCAACTGCAGTTTAATTCTGCATCCAGTGAGGTGGAGTGGAAGTGTTTCCAGTTTTAATAAATTAGAATAAATTAATACAATGCCACACAACTGGAATTAAATGTTATAGCAATTATTATTTTTTCTTTTTACATGACTACACTTAAAAAGCTGATGGGCAGACATGCTATACCCTGAGGAGGGCGAGATTAGGATCAAGGGCGAGATTAGGCTGCTGCACTTCTAAAAGTAAAACAAGATTAGGGCAGAAAATGTGTTAGCTTTAATTTTCATTCATTAAATATAATTAAATGAATATAATTAATGAAATATGGTTGTGCTCCTTCAAAATGCATTGTTAACTTTCCTATTCTTTCTCATTAAAAATTACAATTTGGTGGCAACTTTTCAAGGCTCTCGGACTACACTCAATACTTCTGGATGCTTTTGTGAGTCACTGAGGCCTCACACCATGTGTTCCTACTAGATTTAGTAATACTTAGAGTTTATTTGTCCCTTTTTGTTAGTTGAAATCATAAAAGTATGTGCAATTAAGCTGTTTATACTATATTATTTACTAATACTCCATAACATGCAAACATTGCCACAAAAAGTTTTGAACTCAGAATCAACCCCAGATTCAGCATGCTTAGACTCTTTTCCCCAGCTGTTTTAATTCAAAAGTTAAAATGTTTGTCACATAAAAGCCAATTTGATGGCCACCTACAATTTTCTATTCCACAGTTTCAAAGAACCTACTGCAAGGTATTCCAAGAGAAAAACTTCAAAAGACAACCTGTTTCTTGCCTCAGACTCTTAACCTAGGTTTTAAAGAAGCAATCTGCGGAATGTTGCTTAGCAACAGCTTCCAAATTCTAGAGGAAACACAAACATCCCTTTATGCCACCCATATATACTGAACAAGAAAAGATGGCTCCAAAACATGCATTGGTATAACACAAAAGTTGTTTTTATTTTTGGCTGCCGGTGTGAAACTCCTTTAAAGGCCAGCAAGACAAATGCATCTGTGGACTTCCCTCTGATTCATGCTCAGGGGACTTTCAACCAAAACCAAACAAAAGCAAGTTCTGAATTATTTGAGGTAATAGCTCAAATGATATTTAAGATGTGTGTATATTTAAGAGGTGTATCCACTCAATAACCACAACACAGAGACCCATGGAAACAACTGCTATTAAAATATGATCAGCTATCTTTTGAATTACTTGGAAAAATTAAATACTTCCCATCTCCAGCACAGAACATTTCTTATTCTTAACTAACTACTTCCACTACTCTGGAAGTATAATACAGATCCTGAAAAAGTGAAACAACAACTGGCCATCTAAAAATAATCATTCCTGGCAAAAGTGAAAAACAACAACGAATAAAAGTCATTTTTACAGCAATTTTAGTAAAGAAAATGTCCTCTCGTATCAGGAACAGTCCTAGTGTATGACTCCATAAATAACAAATAAGTTCTAATGAGTCATTGAAATAAAATGATTTGACTAAACCCAGAAGAACAGATGTTGAATTAATCAGAGAATTAACTCAGAATTTGAGTTATTACTCAGGGACTTTCCTAACCCTGGCTAGTTGCCAAATAGCTCTCCACTTACCCATCCACCAAGCCATGTTCCAAAAAAGTATTATTTTGATAATATCTAAGGGCATTATTCTATATTTACTCTCCAAACTGAGCCCAGAAGAAAACAAAATACTTTGTTACTGTTCTGGACAATCTGTTTTCCTCAACTATCAAATTCTTATGCTTCTGGGAGTTTTCCCCATGCTGCTTACCTGATCCTGCTAAATTTTAGTTTGTGCTTGTTTCTGTAATTGTGGCAAAAATTATTCTTGTTAATTTTTCTCCTTCCAGCCTGTAGTAGGAAAACAACTATTGGGTACAAGATGGATTTTTTTTTCTTGTTTCATTTTATTTCTTGGTCTCATTATAAAACAATTTGAGATATTTCTATGGATTGGCTGTGCTAGTTGTTTCTGCATGAATTTGTGTTCCACAGACCTCCTTCCATAGGTACTATAGTCAGCTGACACTTTTCAAAAGGGGACCATCACACACACACATACACACACACAAGCTTATATTTAATGTTTTCTATTAGATAACTTTTAGATAAATTCCTGATCCATGCCTTGTTTTTAAACTTTAGCTTGAAAGTAGGTTTTGGCTTTCAACTCAAAAGAGAAAAGGTCTTTGATCATAGCATCTGTTGACAACTCCTGAATTCAGACAAGTCTCTTCTGGGTTTGGGGAGCAACTGAGAGAGCATCCACACACAGTCACAGAAAGATACACAGCTGCTTTAAAAAGATGTTGACATCTGCTACATGACTACCCTACGCCTATTAAAGAACCACTTTTCTTTCAAATCTGGTTGTGGCAGAGCCTTAGGTTTAAATACAGGCTATTTTCTGTTCATTTTTGTACACTTAGTAATTTTGGATAGTCAATGGCAGCACATTCAACGTACAAAAGGAGTGGCCGTAATCTTCCCACAAGCACTGGTGAGAATCAGCCACAGTCATTGCTTTACAATAGTTAAGTTGTTTTTTTTTAGTTTCCAAATAAGTAAGCTAAGTAATTCTTATAAACCGAAAGAATTTTCTTTCACATCTTTGAGGACATTTATTCTTGCATGTGATCAAAACAGGTCTATATAAATCAATCAGTAGGAAATATTTGCAGCAGGTCAAAAGTAACAGTTCATATTTCTTTATTTTTTGTGTTTGGGGATAAAGTTGGAGATTCTCTCTCTCATTAAAGTGTGTTTTCAGTATCAGTTATCTTTGGTACCCAGTTTAACTAGTCAGTTTCGTTACTTGTGAAAATAATGTAGAAATAAGAATTATTTGTTTGTTTAGTCAAATTTATTTGCTGCCCATTTAGCAATTCAGGTATCACTGAGCAGCATACATCAAAATAAAACAACATGTAATAAGTTATAAATATAAAATGGGTTAAAATTACAAAAATTAAACCAAAGGATTTGGAGGGGAGAATTGGGATACTTTCTCTACAACCTCTAGCCAGTAACTTCTCCTTCAAGACCCCATGCCAGCTGGCATAGCCAGATTTTAAGAGCTTTTTTGAAGGCTTAAAAGAGAGGGGGCAAATCTTATCTCGTATGGCAAGATTTTCCAAACAGCAGGAACCATGGAAGAGAAGGCTCTTTTCCTACATTCTACCAGCTGAAACTTCTTGGCTGATGAGATCCACAGTAAGCCTTTTCTGTCTTAATGAGCGGGGCAGACCAATCCCATTGGGGAAAGACAGTTCTGCAGATATTTCAATTATACCTCTAATGTAACAAAGTAGGACTATTATCATGTTTAAATCACAATATCTTTACACTGTAATGATTCCTTACACTAATCATACTACATCTTCCATGCAGCATACCTCATTGTGCATTACATGCCAATATTAAAAATCTGGCTATCATTTGATTCTGCAGCATATTCTCACCAATGCACCTGGAAAAGAAGTGGGGTGATATGACTGCCATATGTTGAACCTTCTAAAGTTTCTGAAAACTTTTCAAAGGCAGTTCTAAACAGAACTACAATCAGTTCTGTTTAGACTACTAGATTTGTGTTTCTTTAAAAGAGGAAGGATCTGAGTAGCAAGCCAAGGACTTATGGGTTATTGTTGCCATTGGAACATCTTGGATTCATAGATTTTACTGAACCACACAACAGAACTTCAAAAGGATTTAATTCACCCTTAATTCAGCCTAATATAATCCTTAATTCAGCCTAATTACATTATTATATTGCATACAAAAACTCCCAATTTATTAGAAGTGCATCTCCCTGAAACTCAAGTCCAAGGTGGATCAGGCTAATATGGAACAGATTTTATCACTGGTGGACCAAATAAGTTGAAATCCAGGCTTCCACAAAATTACATTCTTGGTGTGTTCAGAGGGCAGTCCATCAAACTATTTCTCCAAAACTGACACTACTGCAGATTATATCACCAAATTGTAGGGGAAATTGCTTATATAAAATACTTTAGTGGAAAGGACAGGATAGAAAACTACTGGCTTC